AGCTCAGAGCCTGGAGCCTGCTTCGGATTCTGTGTCTCCCTCTCTCTCTCTCTGTCCCTCCTCTGTTTGTGCTCTCTCTCTTTCCCTCAAAAGCAAATAAATAAACATTAAAAAAAATTTTTTTAATAATAAAAAAAAAGTAGGATGATCTACCGACTGAGCCTGCCAGGTGCCCCAATTATGCACACTTCAGTGTCCTAATTCAGATTGCTGTTCATTTAAAACACTTTTCTGAGGTGTAAATGCAGTAAGCAAAGTGTACAAAATCTTAAAGTGTACAGCTTGATAAAATTTTACCCACATGTGCCACATATAACAAACAAATTGAGATAGAACATTTCCAATACTCCAGAAGGCTGCCTCATGGCTGTTCGCTATTTTTTAGTATTTTTAACACTTAATATTATGAAAAATCTCAACTATACAACATTTCTTCTTTATTCCTTCCTTCCTTCCTTCCTTCCTTCCTTCCTTCCTTCCTGCCTTCCTTCCTTCCTTCCTTCCTTCCTTCCTTCCTTTCTTTTTCTTTCTTCTCTGTATTCATTGTGGGGCTTGAACTTATGACCTGGAGATCAAGAGCCACATGTTTTACTGACTGAGCCAGCCAGCTACCCCAAATATGCAGCATTCTTGAAGGAGTTTTCCGGTGGACACTCGTATACCTAACTCTTGTATTTTTACATTAGCATTTTACTATACTTGCTTTATCACATCTATCCAACTACCCGTCCTTCTATCCATCTCCTTTTTCTTTGATGCATTTTAAAATAATTGCAGACCGAGGCGCCTGGGTGGCTCAGGCGATTAAGCATCCGACTTCGGCTCAGGTCACGATCTCATGGCTCATGATGAGTTCGAGCCCCGTGTCGGGCTCTGTGCTGACAGCTCGGAGCCTGGAGCTCGCTTCAGATTCCATCTCCCTCTCTCTCTGCCCCTCCCCTGTTCATGCTCTGTCTCTGTTTCCCAAAAGTAAATAAATGTTAAAAAAAAATTTTTTTTTTAAATAATTGTAGACATCAGTACACTTTCTCTTAAATGCTCCAACATGCGTATCATTAGGGTTCAGTATTTTTTTCCTTCTGAGGTAACATTTACACACTGCAGTGAAATGCACAAATACTTACCGTACATTTGCTGCATTTTGACTAATGCATCTGTGTAATCGGAACCTCTGTCAGGGTATACAACATTGTCATCACCCCAGAAAGTTCCCACATTCCCCTTCTCATGTACTCTTTCCCCACAGTCTCTGCGAGCACCCTTCTGATTGTTTTCCGCACGTAGGTTAGCTTTGCCTGTTCTGGAACAAACACACATGGGCACAAACACATACACACACAGAATTAGTTAGTAGGTATGTACTCTTAGGGAACACTCACCAGTCTGTTTTTGAGATTTTATCTGTGTTTCATGTATCAGTGGTTCATAATATTGTAACTTGTACAAGCTCTTGATATATATGCTTAAATTGCCCTCCAGAAAGATGTGATTACATTTTAATATCACAGGAGCGCCTGAGAGTGCTTGTTAGGCTTTCCTGTCAACAATCTGATTGTGAGAGATGGTATTTTATTGGTATTTTAATTTGAGTTTCTTTCTTTTTTTTTTTTTTAATTTTTTTTTCAACGTTTATTTTTTTGGGGACAGAGAGAGACAGAGCATGAACGGGGGAGGGGCAGAGAGAGAGGGAGACACAGAATCGGAAACAGGCTCCAGGCTCTGAGCCATCAGCCCAGAGCCTGACGCGGGGCTCGAACTCATGGACCGCGAGATCGTGACCTGGCTGAAGTCGGACGCTTAACCGACTGTGCCACCCAGGTGCCCCTAATTTGAGTTTATTTCATTTATTGTTTTTCATCTTTGTTTTGTTTTTTTTTCCCCAAGAGTGTTTTGGACCCTTGAACTCTTCAACTCTTCAACCGTTGAACTCTTCAACGGAACTGGTGCTTCCTTGTTCAAGCCTGTTGCCTGTTTCTCTCTTTGGGCTTTAGAGTTTAAAATTTTTTATTTGTAAGAGCTTTTTAAATATGCTTGGGAATTAAGTTTTGATCTCATGCTTATTGCAGATCTTTTTCTCCAGCCTTTTCCTTTTTATTGAATGTAGTTTTTTTTAATTATATATTATATATATATATATATATAATGGAATCAAATGTAGCACTCTGAATGCTTTTTCTGTTTGCTTTATACAGCATCATCTCTGTTACAGAAGTAATACATAGTACAGGTGTTGTAGAAAATTAACAAACGCTGAAATGCAGTTTTCACAACCTAGAGATCATTTATTATAACATGTTAGCATGTATCCTTCCAGACTTTTTCTGTTCATATGTGCACATTTTCATTTCACTGAAATCAGGTCATATACTATGTACTTTTTAAAACAAAATTATGGCGAAGCGTACTCTAACATAAAATTTACCATTTTCATCATTTTCGTGTGTACAGTTCAGTGGCGTGAAGTGCAACCACATTCTTGTGCGACCATCGTCGCCACCTGTCTCTAAAACCTTTTCGTCTTCCAAAACTGAAACCTCATACCCATTAGATACCAGCTCCTCATTCCTTCTCCCCCCCCCCCCCCCGCCCAGTTCCTGGCAGCCATGATTCGACTTTTGACTGCTCTAGGTACCTCATACAGGTGGCATCATAGGGTATTTGTACTTTTGTGATTGTCTTGATTCACTTGATGTGTCTTGGGGATTCATCCGTGTTGTAGCCTGTCTCAGAATTTCATTGTGTTTTTTAAGGCCGAGTAACACTCCACTGTGTGTTTATACCACCCTTTGTTTATCCTTCCATCCACTGACGGACACTTCGGTTGCTTCTGCCTTTTGGTTATCCTAAATAGTGCTGCTGTGAACATGGTCCTACAGATCTCTTCAAGTTCCTGCTTTCAATTCTTTTGAATGTATATACACCCAGGAGTGGAGCTGATAGGTTATATGGTGATTCTACTTTTCACTTTTTGAGGAACCACCATAAGTACATATTGTTTTGCCATGGCCTTTTTTGAGCCAATCTGTACATTTCCATTTTAGTAGTGTTTTATCTCATACCCATAACAGACTCCACCGATACCCCTGTGATCTCAGAAATGTCCTCTGCACTGCATCTGCTTGGTAAGATCCTTCCATCTCTTTTAAGCTAGCACGTCCCTTCCCCTTCTCCCTACTTTTTGTCACACTGACCTGTTAAAGACACCTGACCACTTTGTCCTAAATTCTGGAGTTGTCTTCCGGTTTCCTTGTGGTGTCATTTAGCTTGCTTTCTTTCTGCTCTATTTCTCGTAAACTGGAAGTTGAACCTAAAATGGATGAAAGTTACGTATATTTGGCTAGAACACATCATTGGTGATCCATGAATCCCATCAGAAGACACAGAAGATCTGACTGACCCACCATTATGGATGCTCAGGTTGCACACTGGGTTAGGGTGATGAGAAGCTGATCCCTGCCTCTTGCATCAGTTTCCCCTCATAAGACCAGAGAGCGATCTGTGTGGCACTGGGCGCCATATGAATGTGCAGTTTACCAGAGGCTATTCACCTTGGTTTTTTTCCCTGCCTTTTTTTTTTTTTTTTTAAAGCGCCAGTTGATAATCATTATCTAAAATAACAATTCTGATCAGGGTTAATGAATGATGTTTCCTAATTCAGTTGCTTTTCTACGTGCAGTAGTTGATGTTCTGTGTAAAGCAGAAGTTTCCTTCATCAGCTGGGGCCAGGGCTATTTAATTGCTATAAAATATAGTTCCTATTAAAGAGGCAGGGTAAGTTTTTCCCTTTATTAACAGTTTTAATAGTTAAGGAGTTGCTGCCTCCAATGGGAATGAATATGTTGTTGTTGTTGTTGTTTTTATTTGTTTTTTTGCTTTTCATCTTTAAAAAATGTAATTGTGGACATAGGGATTTTCATTGGTTGGATGTGTTTGGGTCCATTATAGTCTTGTCTTTTCTTTTTTTTTTTTTTTAACTGATTTTTGAGAGAGAGAGAGAGAAACAAGTGGTAGAGAGAGAGAGGAAGACACAGAATCGGAATCAGGCTCCAGGCTCTGAGCTGTCAGCACTGAGCCCAACATGGGGCTTGAACCCACGTACCGCGATCACGACCTGAGCCGAAGTTGGACGCTTAACCAACTGAGCCGCCCAGGTGCCCCGACTTCTGTATTCTTTTAACATGATTCTGTTAATCTTTGAAAGCACAACCAGTTGTCCCAGGCTTAGCTTGTACCTTCCCTGTCCCAGCCCAGCAATGAGCCTTTGCTCCAGGGTGCCCTGCTGCTGTTAGTGGGAAATGGTGTAGGAAACTACAGTTCAGGTGCTAAGAGTACTCATTATTCTAGGAGAAACATCGTTTTGGAGTCAGTTAGTGGATAGATCCAGAAAATACGTCACTAAGAAAAACCCAGACCGTGCAATTGATATATATTTCATACACACTTTCAATTTACATTTAGTGTTTTACTTCAATTTGCTTGACTTTATAAGTGGATTCCTTTTCTCTTACACTGATAATTTTCATTTTTCTTTGTTTTAAGCCTAAGTCCTTACTCATCCAGATGTAGTCAAGTATTTATTCATATGTTTAAAACTTTTTGTCTGTTTATTTAATTGCAACATTTAGTGTTTTAAATCTGGCGTTTATTTTGGGTATTTGGATATTTTGGTGTGAGGTAGGATCTTAGCACTTCAGAACAGCTAGTTATTATTGCAGCACTTTTTACGTGAATAATTATTTTTATTCCCTACAGGCTTATACTTTCACCTTGATCACATCTTTGGGTCATCTGTTTCTGGTTATCTATTTTTGCCCATACTTTTACAGCACTGATTTCATTTTATATGTATATATATTTTTTTAATTTCTTAATTTTTAAAATTTACATCCAAATTAGTTAGCATATAGTGCAACAATGATTCCAGGAGTAGATTCCTTAGTGCCCCTTAACCATTTAGCCCATCCCCCCTCCCACCACCCCTCCAGTAACCCTCAGTTTGTTCCCCATATTTATGAGTCTCTTCTGTTTTGTCCCCCTCCCTTTTTTTATATTATTTTTGTTTCCCTTCCCTTATGTTCATCTGTTTTGTCTCTTAAAGGCCTCATATGAATGAAGCCACATGAAGTTCTCTAATTTCACTTAGCATAACACCCTCTAGTTGCATCCACGTAGTTGCAAATGGCAAGATTTCCTTCTTTTTGACTGCCGAGTAATACTCCATTGTATATATGTACCACATCTTCTTTATCCATTCATCCATCGATGGACATTTGGGGGTCTTTCCATATTTTGGCTATTGTTGATAGTGCTGCTATAAACATGGGGGTACATGTGTCCCTTCAAAACAGCACACCTGTATTCCGTGGGTAAATGCCTAGTAATGCAATTGCTGGGTCAAAGGGTAGTTCTAGTTTTAGTTTTTTGAGGAACCTCCATACTGTTTTCCAGAGTGGCTGCACCAGCTTGCATTCCCAGCACTGATTTCATTTTTATAGCTTTATGTTTTAATAATGTATGATAAGGTTAATCCTTTTCCCCATTATGTCCCAGGAAAAAAACCTTCATAACTCATTTTTGTCTATTTTTCCACGTCCGTTTTAGGATGATTTTTATCTACTCCCAAATTTTGGGGGCATTTTGCCCATATTAGAGTTAAATCCACTGTAATTTAGGAAGAACTGATAGCTTTACAGCCTTCTTCTGTCCATGAACATGATATTTACTATTCATTAATCTTAGTTTATGCATTTTCACATGGGGGTCATGTCTTTTTAAGATAATTCTGTTGGAGCCAGAATCTTTTGTTTTTTAAATCTTTTAACTAATTATTTCAGTTAGATAAAATATATGGATATTGCTGAATTTTACTAAACATTCTATAGTTAGTTGATTGTGTGTGTGTGTGTGTGTGAAAAATAGATGAATCTTAAGTGTATAGTGTCTTTGATTTTTGAGATAAATGTTTACATTATTAAGGTGACTGATGGTTTGGTGTTTTCCTTTCTCAAAGTAATACTTTTTAATCCGTTTCCTTATTGTTTTGGGGGTTTCAGAAAATTGTCAATAATAGTTTTAGCATGCATCTTTTTTATCCTGATTTTAATGGTACTATCTCCAGTTCCTCATTCTTAGGTGTGGTCTTGGGTGTTGCTCTTAAGACAATATACTTTGATGTGCTTTATTATTAAGGAAATAGCTTTCTAGGCCCGTTTTCTATGGGTGGTTTTAAAAAGTTACAAATGTCGAATTTTATCAGAAGCTCCTGCCCCCTTTTTGTTTCATCTAATCACATAATGATCACTTGATGTTTCTTGGAATTATTGGTGTGACATGGCCTAATTGGATTTTTGATATTTTAAAAACTTTGCATCCCTCAAATGAATGCTGCTTGCTGCTTACAGACAATTAAAAAATAATTTAAAATATACAGTTGAGCTTTGAACAATGCGGGGGTTAGAGGTGCTGACCTCCTGCATGTTCAGAAAAATCCATGTATAACTTTGACTCCCCCAAAGGTAACTACTAATAGCCTACTTTTGACTAGAAGTCTTACTGACCATGTAGTTGATTAACACTATAAGTGATTAACATGAATTAATGTGTTCTCTATAGAAAACAAAATGTTATCAAGAAAATCATAAGGAAGAGAAAATACTTTTATAGTGCTGTAGTATATTCATTAAAAAAATGTGTAGTGCTGGATTCACAGTTTAAATGTGTTGTTCAAATGTCAACTGTATTACTGAATTCAGTTTGCAATAATGTGAAATACAGTTTTCTTTTCTACATTAATGAGTGAAAACAAGGTGCTCTACAGTTTTATAACCTAGCAGGAACCTTTATTAACATTTTATACTAATGTGTGTGTGTGTGTGTGTGTGTATAAATATATATTAATAATATATAAATTACTACTTACATTCTTTTTTCCTGTGCATGTATAGGAAATTTTAAATTTAAATGTTAAGTGTACTTCTGTTTGTTTATTTATTTATTTATTTATTTTTCATGGGGCTTGAACTCCTGCTTCTCTATAGTTTTATATCCTGACTTGTAAATTTAATAATAAATTACAGCTATCTTCCCATGTCATTAAAATGTCTTCAAAACACTTACAAACGCTGCCATGCACATCTTCTTACACAGGTGTTTATGCATATCTGCGATCCTATCCTTAGAGCCTACTTGTAAAAATAAATCCTGTCTTTAAGTTTTGATTTAAAAAAACAATTCTGTCAGGGCAGGCTTTGAAACATTTTGAGCAGTCTATAATGAAAAAGCGTTGTATTTTATTAAAAGTTTATATAACCTTGGCTCAGGTAAGTTACACTTACTTATTGCAATCTTTCATTTTCTTACAATTTTATTCCTTATTGGGACCTTCACCTTTACCATATCCACCTTTCCCATTCTATGGAGGATGAAATTGAAGCCCTAAGGGATTTAGGAGACATGCCCAAGGTCACACTGCAGGTATTGGCAAAGCTGGAACACGTGCCTGAGCTTGTCCCTTGTCCCCGGGTACCTTTGATATTCATAGGATATTCATCAGAAATAGTTCTACTGTCTGGTCCTTGCACTGTGCTGCTGCCTGGGCATCAGACTGTGTATCAAACCCTCCAGTGCAGGTTTGCAAAGTGTACTCTTGTCCAGGGGGTTTGTCGTATAGAAGCAAGCAAGAAATTGAATACCTGGAATTGCTGAGCTTGGATATCATTAGCGGAGGTGCTTGATTATTGCAGAAATGGTTCTGGTTTCATTTTAAAGCCATGTAGAGATACTGTTTTTTCTTAGTTTGTAACCACACGTTTAGAGCTGGAGTCCATGTGTAGTAAAAACCTACTTGGTTTACGTAGTCATTCACTACATTTGAGCGGCTTCCTTTCCCGCCCTAATATTTTTAGATAAAAGCAGGAAGTCTTGTTGTTCCTTTTTCCTCCCTCAGCCTTTATGCCGTGCCTTTCGGTTATTCTGGTGTTCAGAAACAGGGTCTTGAAAAGCCAAAGATTCCAGATGAGTGGAGCTGTATTAAAGCCTTGCCTTGGGCTGAAGGCCGGCGTGGGGTCCGCCTGGCACTGGGTCCAGCAGTATTTACAAAAGGCTCAACACGCTGGTGAAAATTGATAATGGACAATATGACAAAGATCAGTACTTTGATTAGACCTCCATCAGGGCATCCTCACAGGCTTCCCTCAGCTCTCCATCTACACAGAGAACTCTCTAGTGTGGTAGGTTCGCATGATTGGATCACAACCGTCACTCAGCACATGTTTATTTGGTGCTTTACTGTGGGCCAGGAGCCACGCCGAGAGTTTGCAGGGAATGTGAGGATGAGTAAGACCTAGCCTTCCTTTGCAGATGATACGCTCTTTAGAGGACAAACTTGTCTCTCTGTCCCCTGATTCTGCAGTGCTTGTTCAGAAATCTGAACATACCATTTCTGTGCTCGTGGTCAGGGAGGGCAGGGGGATTGGAATCCGAAGACTTGGGTTTGAATTCTGGCTCTGGTGCTGAGCTGTGTGGGGGGCAAGTCAGGTGACCCGTCTGTGAGCCCCAGTTCCTTGTAGGTAAAGTAAGCACATGAGGGAAGGTGTAGAAGATGCCTTCTTATCTGTTACACACCACTGAAGTGGCCGATGTTTCTTGTTTCTCTTTGCTTATTGATGGGAGTTGTGTTGTCTCACCAGTGGGTCAGAAGAGAAGGAATCCTTTCAGTGCTGCTGACTATACTGATAAGGGAGAAATAAACAGGGGTGCACTGCTTTTCTGGCCTGGAAACCAAAAACCAGTTTTCAGTGCCAAAAGCCGTGTTTGTCTTGAGAGGCCCAGAATATGTCTACAACGTAGGTAGGACTGCTTCAGGTCCCACGGTGAATCTCTTGGGTCATCGCAGGGTTTTGCTTCAGGTTCAGTTGTTTATAGGGCTAGCTTTGCTACAGTGTGGTTTGCTCCCTGCTCTATTTCTGCTGTAGTAAGAAAATAACGTAGGCTGGCTGGAGGTGGTCTCTCTGGTCAGGGCTAATACGAATCAAATGAACTTGTTTTTCCAGTGTGTCGGAACTGACCGTTCGGAGCAGCACACCTGTCCCATAGCCAGGTTCTAGAAAGCCCTGTGACTATGACACCTGCACTGGGCCCTGGCTCTTCCCCACCGGATAGCTTTGGAATTAGCTAAATGCTGGCATGAGGGCTTTGTCCCTGCCCCCAGCATTCTTAGCCTTTACTACTGTAGAGCCAGCTTGCTAAAATGATCTACCTTCTTACGCTTTCTCCCTCATGAGGCAATTTTTGGGAATTTCTACTCCACCTAAGCTGTTCTTCTGTAAAACTTCAATCTGCATTTCTCTAGGTCCCAGATAACCTGAACCCTCATGCAGAGGGCCGGAGGGACCTGCTGCCCTACAAGCAGAGGTTCAGAGAAGGGGCAAAGTGACCGCATGCCAGTCTGATTGTGCCCTTCCCTGCTTAAAACCCCCCTGTGGCTCCCCGTTATCAAATTCAGATTTCTTTTTTTTAACCTGTGGCTCCTGCCCACCTCCAGCTTCCTCCCACTACGTGCCGAGCACCTCCGGCGCCCACACGTTCAGGGACTGGTGACCTCTGGACTTTTGACTGTGCACTTTCCTCACAAGCGCTCTGCCGAGAACTTCTCCCTGACTTAATCAGCAGAAATAGCGAAAGAACGTTGGTGAAGGTAGAGCTGTGAGAAGGAAGTAAGTAACTGTTGGAGGAAGTATTTTATGTCTGGAAGAAACGCCCTAAGATTTTCATGTGCGTGGTATTCCAGGAAGACAGAGAGAGAGAAGATAGGACAAAGGATTCAAACTGTCAAGGTCCCAAATGCCCAGGGGATAGAGCGTCCCTGGGGGCTGCTCTGGGACAGCGTTTGCCTTTGTGGCAGCTTCACGGTGGCCCTGAGGACCAGGGCGCTGGGAGAGGGCAGCAGAAGACGGGTAGCCTCTGGGCTGGAGGAACGCGCTGTGGCTGACACAGCCTGTTTTTGTTGACCACGTGGGGGGCCTGTGGCTGTAGAAGTGGCCTCCCCTTGGTGGGCACCTGAAGAAATTACCCCTTTATTACAAATACAAGCTATCTGGGTCTGATGGTGCTGCTCTCAGGTGGGGTGG